AATTGAGTACCAAAGGCCACATGCAATGCTTCCTAGAAGCGTGAAGTAAACTTCGGATCTCGATCACTGACTATGCTTTCGGGAATGCCATGAAGCTTCACAATCTCTCTGACATATAGTGTGGCTAGCTGCTCTGTGGAGAAATTCATCTTGACTGGAATGAAATGGGCGAATTCAGTCAACCTATCAACCACAACCCATATGGAATCAAATCCAGCCTGGCTTCTTAGTAATCCAACAACAAAGTCCAAGGATATACTCATCCACTTCCACTCTGGAATATCTAATGGCTGTAACAAGCCAGAAGGCTTCTGATGCTCAATTTTTACCTTCTGACAAATAAGGCACTTGTTCACAAACTGGGCAATGTCTTTCTTCATCCCAGACCACCAAAAATTCCGCTTCAAATCTTGATACATCTTGGTTGCACCTGGGTGGATGATGTACTTACCATATGGCCCTCTGTCAACACTTCTTCTACCATTGGCCCCTTTGGAACAATGAATCGATCTTTGTAGTATTTCACATTAGAAGCATCAGTAAACACAAAATCATGCTCTTTCATCATTTGGATCCCTTCATCAAGCACTTGGGCCGCTTTAACTTTTTCCATTAATGAGTTTTGGACTTCAACCGTAGTCATGAAATATGAAGTCTCAAGTGGAGTAACGGAAACTCTCAAATCCCTGAACTCCTCAATTAGGTCATACTCTGCAATCATCATGCTAGCCACACTCGTGGTCTTTCTGCTCAAAGCATCAGCCACAACATTCTCCTTTCCCGGGTGATACTGAAGGTCAAACTCATAATCCTTCAGAAATTCCATCCATCTCCTTTGCCTCATATTAAGCTCCTTTTGATCAAATAGGTACTTCAAGCTCTTGTGGTCACTAAAAACTGTGAAGGTCGCACCGTACAAGAAGTGTCTCCATATTTTCAATGCAAAAACCACAGCCGCTAACTCAAGATCATAAGTAGGGTAGTTCTCCTCATGTGGTCTCAACTGTCTAGAAGCATAGGACACTACCTTTCGCTCCTGCATCAACACGCACCCTAATCCACACTTGGATGCATCACAATAAATCTCAAATCTCTTTTTCGGAACAGGAAGAATCAAAATCGGTGCGGTAGTCAACTTGTCTTTCAATTCTTGAAAGCTCATATCACACCCAAGGGTCCAAGCAAATGGCACCCTCTTTCGGGTCAACCTAGTCAACGACAAGGCGATTCTGGAGAATCCATTGATAAACCGCCTGTAGTATCCGGCTAAACCCAGAAAACTTTGGATTTCAGTAACATTCTTGGGTCTCTCCCAATCCAACATCGCTTCTATTTTACTCGGATCAACAGCCACTCCTGCAGATGAAATGACGTGTCCAAGAAACTATATCTCATGCAACCAGAATTCACACTTGGATGGTTTAGCATATAACTGATGCTCCCTTAAAATCTGTAGGATTATCTTCAAATGCTCTGCATGTTCTTCCTTACTCTTAGAGTAGATCAAAATATCATCAATGAATACCACAACAAATTGATCTAAATGTGGTTTGAAAATCTGGTTCATATAACTCATGAACACGGCCGAGGCATTAGTAAGCCCAAATGGGATCACTAGATACTCATAGTGCCCATATCTGGATCGGAAAGCCGTCTTCAGAATATCCTCGGCCTTTACCCGGATCTGGTGATATCCGGAACGAAGATCAATCTTCGAAAACATAGAAGCACCTCTGGGTTGATCCAACAAATCATCAATGCGTGGTAGAGGATACTTGTTCTTTACTGTCACCTTGTTCAACTGTCGATAATCAGTGCGCAATCTCATAGTCCCATCCTTCTTCTTCACAAAGATCACCGGTGCACCTCAAGGAGATACACTCGATCTGATAAAGTTCTTACGGGATAATTCTTCTAATTGTTTCTTTAGCTCTGCTAGCTCCACTGGTGACATCCTGTATGAAGCCAATGAGATAGGCCCCACACCAGGTACTAAGTCGATGGATAATTCAATCTCCCTCTCAGGTGGAAAATGGGGAATTTCTTTCGAAAATACATCTTCAGACTCGCACACAACCGAAATATTAGCAGTAGGTTCATTGGAGTCTCCTACGAGTCCTCACAGGATAATGTATCCTGCATCTCCCTCATCTAGAGCCTTATTTAACTGCGGTGCCGTCAAGTACAAATTGTCCGGCTTCTCTCCATTTGCAGAAAAGAAAATCCTCCTGCTACAACAGTCGAGCATCACACCATACCGAACTAGCCAATCCATACCCAATATAATATGTAGATTCCTGCCCTCAAGCACAATCAAATCCTCCATATACTCTTCTTGCTCATATATGAATCTGACTTCTTTGCACTTCAAAGAAGTAGAAACAATGTCTCCGGTGGCAGTCTTCACTACCATGGGAGGTGTGAACTCAAGAATGGGTAAATGTAATCCATTAGCAACAAATTCCGATATGATTGAGTGGGTAGCTCCGGAATCAAACATGGCATCAAACGCATATCCTTTGATAAGAATAGTACCTCTAATAAGGTTTGGAGACCTCTATGCCTCCTGCTGTGTCACTGGATATACCCTGGAACTAGTGGGCACCATAGGCTCTTCTATGGCTCTCTGAGTAGGCACAGACTGAATCAGGATCGCCTGAATAGCTGCAACTTGCTCCGTCTTCTTGGGGCACTCTCTGGAATAATGTCTTGCCTGACCACAACTGAAGCAAACATTCTGCCCCAGTCTACAAACACCTGTATGTATCTTCCCACACTTGGCACAAGTAGGGATCTTCCTTGTACCAGACATGCTGCTTCCATTCTTTACGAAGAGAGTCTTCTTAAACTTGGTGTTATATTCTGCTTGCAAACTTTTGCCCTTACCCTTCCAGGGCGTAGTCCTCCCATTTAAGCTCTTTCCTGCTGCTTTCTTTCCCCTAGTATGATAGTACTCCTGAATATTCTGGCACTGCTTGATCAGCTCCACAATGACCAGCCAGCTTCTCTGCTATCATATCATTGAGGCCCTTCTTGAATCGAAAGGCCTTGTCTTCTGGAGTGAGGGGAGCTCTACCGTAACAAGAATATTTTGCCAAGCGGTTAAACTGGCTCAGATATTCATCCACAGTCATGCCTCCCTGCCGGAGGTCTTCAAACTTACTCTTCTTCTTTTCCCTAGCTTCTTCAGGGAAGTACTTATGCAGAAAATGCCTCTCAAATAACGGTCAAGTAATAGCATAACCTTGGCACTCCAATGGGTGCCTGACATTGCTCCACCAGTTTGCTGCATTTCTTTGTAACATGTACATAGCATACAAAAGCTTCGTCTCGACATCGCATTCCATGACCTGAAAAATGCGCTCCATTTCCTAGAGCCACTTCAATGCTACTATGGGGTCTCTTCCACCTTTGTAGTGAGTTGGGGAATGCTGCTTCCTGAAAGCGTTCAGCATACCCTTTGTAACACCCTCCCTTGTATGCATCCAAGAGAGTTGTTTGCTAAGCGGAATTAGAGTTTTTTGACATCATTACTTTGATACTGAAAAATCATTTAGATGTTGCTAATTAAAACTTATAATTGAAATCGAGCCACTTACAAAAATCAGAGTGCACTTTTCCAAATTTCTTGATTTGTTGAAAATATTAAATTTCCTGGCAGACGTTGCTGTCTTGAAAAATTCGTATAAAATCTAGTTCAACGATCCACAAAAATATTCTTTGTAATATAGAAACTAGACATCTGGGGCTTCGTGTACATATAAATTATACGCGAATCGGAGGTGAATAGCCCCACGAAACAGAACTCGTAAGGTACTCGAAAATTCGTTGTATTTTTTCCAAAACCTCCTGACTTGTAAAAATCATAATAATTCAGAATTACAAGCATTGAACATAATCTTTATATAATCTGAAATTACACAACTGGGGCTTTACGTACATATGAATTATACCTCATTCGGAGGTCTGTAGCCCCACTAAATATAACTTGCAAAGTGCTCACAAAACGGTTTATAAAACTGCATTCAAAACCTTAAGAAATAGTTTTCGCAAAACGTTTTCAGAATTTTACTCAAAGCACTAACTGATCATAAAAGTCTCAAAACAACAGTAAAATCATAGTGGCAACAGTAATCCAAACTTCTCAAAATAGTAAAGTCATCCATTAAGTAAAACAGTGACAGCAGCAAGTTCAAACAACAGCAATTACAGTAAAACTTCATATAATCAGGTCCTCATATGCTCTTCTTTCCTCCTGCCATTTTGTAAAAATAGCAGCCCCAGAGGGGTGAGAAAAATCCCAGTAGTGTGATAGCCAAACCAATAATGCAACAGTGTTATACTAGGCACAAAATTATAAAGCAGTCGCATTAACATTTAAAATTCCATACAGCTGTTAATCATCATCATCTTATTGCGTAGATAACGCCATGGTCATGTATATTCATCATAGTCATCTTAGTGCGTATATAACGCCATCATTGCACTCATAGCACCGTCGTGCGCGCACCATCACAGTGGATATTCCATAATGGCTCCAACTTTGGTGAATTCCAACTGTGGACCTATGCGGACGGAAGCCAAGTGTCCCATACCCTGGTACCGAAGGGATGCCTATATGATGCGTGCTCAATCGTATGCATATTTATATAAATATCCTAGTCCATGAATAGCATGAAATTCGTGCATGTATGCCATGATATGCTTCACACACAAACAAGAAACAAATGAATTATGAGATGTATATGCATGACTAGATCATCATCATAATAGCATATCTTTCTTGTACTTTCCGTACCAAGCTGCCACATCACAATTACTTCTCTTTCATGATTTTCCATCTTGTCACATTCATAGGCAGCATATATATATATATATATATATATATATATATATATATAGCATATAACAGCACATTAATCCAAGGCACATGTGAGCAATAATTCACAATTCTATACACTAGCTAATAGTCACATTAGGTAATACCACCAAACACTTACCTTGTGTCCACGCAATAATCAACGGCACCAAAACCAGCCCACACTTTAATAATTATGCGCACCTAATCAATGGTACAATAAGTCAGAGTTTTATTCCTAATATCTCTTATTTATAAGAAATTCCCATGCCTTTTTATTCTTGCGTTTCATTTGATTTATCATGCTTCTTGTGATCACCAATTTCTGCCTTCCCATTAATTAATAACATATTTCTATAGCAAAATCCTGAGTCCCCAACACATACCAATTCGGTTTTTCAAGTTCATATAATAAACACATTTTCTGCCATAGAGTTAATTTACTAGTTGTCCTTAATTGAAAGAAAATCCAAATTACTTACACATGCATGTGAATTCGGTTTTAACATGCTTTCTCACTTAGATTCAATTTCTGACTTGGTTTGGCTTTACCAATCGTTAACAAAATTTACCACTTCTTAAGCATACAATTTCGGCTTTGGCTAATAATTAAGAATTCCTAATTAGACATTCCTCTACCCTTTCTACAAGTCCTAAGGTGTACTAGGGGAAACCCAAAAACAAGCTGTGACCGTTCATCAAAACATATGCTAGGCCTAATTAATTTTCTGACTTCACTCTGCTTAATCAATTTGTCAACAACAATTAAAATCCAAGATTTAATTAGCATACATGTTCGGTTCTGCTCACTAATTAGGTGTCACTCATTTATAATATAAATATCCATGTTGACAAGGTTTAGAGGGTGTCATTGAAGCACACAGCATGCAGTCTCTATAGTTTATTTATCATATGCAAGTTAAACAAAACATTAATCTATAAACAGTCCTACCATTTCTGCTACGTTCCAGGCCCCAAAATCACTTCTTAAAACATGCATACACCAAAATTACATTCTGCAAATTTAGTAACAGGTAACAACGAAATCCCAAGGGAAAGTACTCCAACAGGTTCAGTATTTTATTTACATACTCAATCCCCCTAATTGCTAACAACTAAGGATTTTCTAGGATTCACAACACACACACACACATTCGGTTTTAGACATCACATGGTTGCTTATTATTTTTCCTTTTACCAAAATTCTGCTCACAACATTAAGGCATTAAAGATTAATATTTTAGCCCACTGTCTTCAGTTTTCCTACACATGCACGGTTAGGTGTTTTGTCTATTTCAAAGAGGCAGCTCCTAAACTTTAGATGAGTCCCTATTCATGACACTTTGCTATTAATACTTGCATACTTTGGTTCAGTGTACGGTCCAAGGAGCAGAAACAAGGGCAGATGAGACAATAAACTACTCCTCCTAAATCCTACATGCAAACCGAAATAAGGAGTAATGTAACAGTCTTTTGTTGGTACCTTATCGTATACACCCCACAACCCCAAATTTGACAACGCCATCCTATGCCTTCCAACGTCCCAAGAGGTCGAGTTTATCTCCACGAGTGAGGGTCTTCAGCCGAACCCAAGAGGGGCAGTGAGGTCATGAGCAGAATTTGGATTCCCAATCTGCCAGCAAGGAGGTCCCCTTCTAAACGAAGAGAGTAACAGCGAATCAAGAAAATGGAGGGCACAAAGTCTCCTCTGGTTGCAGCTTGGTCGAGTAAGACAGGGAAGGGAACAGAAGTTTTGATGTTGAGTTCTCTCTTAGGGAAAGCTCACGGTTTGTGGAGCGGTAAATGGAAGGAAAAATGGTGATTCTGAATAGGAAGGTTAGCAGTCAGCCTTGAGGCTTCTTTTCACAGCGCATGAGGAGAAGGAAAGAGTGATACAGTTAGCTCACAATCTGTACAAAAGTTCAGCAAGGAAAACAAATCTTAGACTTTGGTATCTTCCCCCCAATGGTGCGCACAACAGAGAAAATAAGAAAGTGAGATTCTTGGCCAGTAGCGTTACATGCAAAACTGAATACTCCTTCCTTATTGGCCAATTGTAAAACAAGGCTGCTTGGATTTAGATAAGATAAAAAAAACAAATCAGAATTCCCCACTCACCCTAGGCGCACTAGTGGTGGAGAATTGAGATGGGTAGATGTTGCCATTTGGTTGATTCTGGGCCAATCACCAACTACCATGTAGATTTCTTATAATAAGTAAGGGTCATCTAAGTTAGGAAAAATTGAGATGATTACGAGCCCCTTTCAATAGCCCTTGGGCCGAGGCCCTTAATGGGAAAATGAGTTCAAAATATACAAGTCCAATTGTTCTCTCATTTAGGAATTGACCCATGCCTTATAAATTTTTATGTATCCTCAAATTATTTACTAAAGGTTTATTCTTTGTAATAAAATTACTCACATACTTTTAGTAAGTACCCATATAATACTAAGTAGTATCATACTTTCTATATGCTATAATTAATTTATTCCTATACTTATAACTAGAATTTCACATGCCCAAAATAGGTACTCACCTTCCATGGTCAACCAAAAATTTTCCTTAATTTAATTTAACTCCATCCTAAAGCAATTCAGTTATATAATCCGAAGGCAAGTACTCTGCCACATTCCTAAACGCAATTTAAATAGTTTCCTAATTAGACGGGATGTTACACCCTTCCTGTCCTAGCACGACAGGCTCAAAAATATGTACGGGACCAACAACACGTGCAGCCTGCTGCTGCGCATGTGGTGTAACTGGCGATGGAGGAGGTGGTGGAGGTCCTCCTTGTTAGTACATGGATGTCCCAGAGACAATCTTTTGATTAGATTAGGACATATGTGTACCTTTTATATTGTCGCAAATAAATCGTAAGCACTCTTTATCATGTTTCATATATTGTCTCGATATAATTGTTTCAAATAAACTAGATAAACCCCTTGGAATAGAATAGGTACCTCTTGAGTATCTGTGATGAGATCATTGTTGGGTAGTTTGCTGATGGTGGAAAAATATAAGTTCTGATGGGGGACGTTCCTTTGTTCTAAATTGGCTATAGAACACATATTCGTTCCCTTACTTCCAACCCAAGTGCGCAAGTGCACGCATCAAGTAATAATGGGTGTATTAAGGCCCAAGTTATCATTCGCACGAGGATAGAACTCTAAATATTGTCTTATACTGTTTTATAAAGAATGAAAATGAGAAGAAAAGTTAGTGAATGAACTGTCTGGTCAAACGTTCCCTACTTTCTTGACAACGTTCCTTAGGAACAGTAAGTTCAGTCTGATGGCAAACAATTGCTCGCTGTGTTATATATGTGATCCTTCTTGTTTAGAAGAAGGTGAGATAAAAATCATTGGAGTTTGATAGATACCAGATTGAATAAAGTAAAAATACTAAAAACAATAATAACTATAATAAAGAGACAATATGGTGGATGGTTTTAAAACAGTTTAACAGAAGGAACAGATTCACTGCTCCATTCTTAAATAATTATTTTCTCTGCTCAAGACTTAACACTTTTTGGCTTTGCCCCAGTTTCTTATCTGCCAACTCTGATTCCTCAGCTAATGGACTAGATGGCTCACAAGTTTCCATATTCCTATGGCTCTCTTGACTCCAACAGGTACTCAACATAGAACCTTAAAGTGGACGAAGTGGCCCCCGTTTTGGGAGCTATGTGGTTAAGAGTAACCACCCCAAAACTTTGCTCTTTGTCAGAGAGCAAATGTATCCACTGGGTTGCCTCCCAGTCAGCGCTTAGTTTAATGTTTTTAGCTAGACATGGTACTTACCTCTCAGATGGATTCAGAAAGAGGGATACTTTCCTCTTTTTCATTGAAGGTTTCATCATTGTATAGTTTCAATCTGTGTCCATTCACTTTGAAGGAACGAACATGTTCAGATCCTTGGATTTCATAAGCTCCATTTCCTGCATCTTTTACAATTTGATATGGCCCAGTCCATCTTGATTTGAGTTTTCCTGGGAACAGTTTGAGTCTGGAATTGAAGAGTAGCACTTTCTGGCTAATTCTTAGATCTCTGTTCCTGATCCTTTTATCGTGCCACTTCTTCATCTTTTCTTTGTACAATTTATGATTTTCATATGTGTTCCCTCTGAATTCCTTTAACTCTTCAAGTTGTAGCAGTCTCTTTTCTCCTGCTGTCTTTTCATCCATGTTGAGGGCATAGACTGCCCAGTAAGCTTTGTGTTCTAGTTCGAGGGGAAGGTGACTTGCTTTGCCAAATATCAATATGTATGGAGAACATCCTAGGGGTGTTCTATATACAGTTTTGTAAGCCCATAATGCTTCATCTAACTTGAGAGACCAGTCTTTTCGAGAAGGATTGACTACCTTCTCTAAAATCCTCTTAACCTCTCGGTTAGAGACTTCAATGAGACCACTGGTCTGTGGATGATATGGAGTTGCAACCTTGTGTCTGACTCCATATTTTTCCAACAATCTCTCAAGTTGGCGGTTAATGAAATGTTTTCCACCATCGCTGATGAGACAACGTGGGATCCCATATTGAAAGAAAAATGACCTTGAAGGTCGAAGCATGTGAGAGGGAAAAACAAAATTTTTCAAGCGGAGTAACACATGCAATCAAGATTCATGCTTTAAGATAGCATGATGTTACCTTTGTTTTTGATTCAAACACCAAGGAGATCAGTGTCAGGTTTGAAGGGTTCAAACCCTGTAACATTGATCCACACCACCCCACCCCACATCAAGATGCAAGAACTCTTCTTGAAAAGCCACCAATTGATCACCACAAAAGCTTGCTAGGCGTCCAATGTGTGAAGGAGGAGGCTAGGTAAAGGTGTTTAGAAGAGTGAAGTCTTCAGCATGAAAACTTCACAAAAGTGGGGCATGGATGCTCTTAGAAAAGGATAGGTTAATTCCAAAAACACTTAAGGAAAAACCTAACAAAAGTGGCGCACCAAAAGGATGAGAGGAAGTAAGGATGCAATCAGATTTTCTACTTCAAATTCTGATCACAAATGACGCACATAAAGGGAGAGAAAGGGTGGTGTTGTTGCAATTCAAAATTCCCAACAACCTACCATACAATCCTCATGAGACTAGATCTTTATCTAGTCAAAATTCTGACCTAATGGCCATCATATGGCCAGCCATCTATGGGCCCCATTCAGCCCCAAAAGGGGTCTAGATACGTTGAGCAGTTGCATTCAAATTTGAACCAACTCACTCACTGATTCTCTCAACCAACCAAATCTGATTGGAGCTTATTTGGTTGACTAGATGACACTTATAATCACACCAAATCAGCGCCCCAAACAGCTCTTGGTGATCTCCAAAGATCTCCTCTTGATACAAGGGATTTGTTCCAACAAGATCTTATCTTATCCTTTTGTTATGAAACAACTTTTCATGCCAATTCAAATTCAAATTCAAACATTTAAATTCAAACGTTCAAACATTTAAATTCTAAATTCAAATACTAAATTCAAATTCTAAACTCAAAATTCAAATTTCAAAATTCAAATTCAAAATTCAAAATTCAAAATTCAAAATTCAAATTTCAAAATTCAAAATCCGAATTTCAAAATTCAAATTCAAAATTCAAAATTCAAAATTCAAATTTCAAATTTCAAATTTCAAATTTCAAATTTCAAATTCAAAATTCAAAATTTAAATATTTGATAATTAATTTAACTAATTAAATTAATTATTAATGTCTTGGACCATCCAAGCCCATTACATGATCCATGCGCCCTTTTCCCTTTTAGGTGAGATTCCAAACTTCTTCTTGGGATAACAACCATTATTAGGCCCAATACCTTTAATGCTTGATCATCATGACAATAAGGTGTTAGTGTGTGACCCATTAAGTCCAACATAGCCACTGACATAAATGGGCTCGGGCCCAACAAGCCCACAACCCATTTAATGACAACACAGAGCACTAGCAATGCTTTGTTGCCCCAGAACTAGTTAGATTAATGACTTGATCATCCTATTATACATATTTGGTTGTTGTATACATTTCCTTTCGTCTCGGTTACCTTCCCATTAAACCTAGGGTAAGGTTACGTATCAACCCTTGCAGTTTAGGGTAAGCTTTAATTCGAAATAGGGAATCTTCAATTTACTGACTTTAAAGGCAGATCATCTCATGATCTCTTTTACTATGCATAGATTCCTGAGTCTTCTAAATGTCATCTCGATTTCTCCGGTTTACAGATAACCTAATCCCTTAAAGAGATTTGACGAATTCCGTCATCTTATCACCCTAGGCCTGTGCTCTTTCAGGACATGCCCAAAAGTATACCTATGAGTCTCCATGTTTCAGGCAGACGAGGTATACAATCAAAATATGCCTTCTAGAACACAGTCTAGGTGACAACTTATGGTCTAAGGAAAGACATACCCAAATATTAAGAGACTGCTCTAATGATACTTTTGTACGATTTCCTCATAGAGAACTCTTTGTAGGTCTGTTCAGTGCGAACTATACCCTTATAGGTCCACCCACGACTTTAGCTAAGACATCTTCATATTTGTAGCTCATGAGGTCTTTACCTTGTATCCGAATACAAGTAGATAAGTCGTGCTAGTCTTACCCGAGATTACTGATCCCCATTCTCAGTGTCTCTAGACTAGGAACATAAAATTAGGAATAAACATCCGATATCCTTAAATCCTCATGATCGTGATCTCATCACAGATACTCAATAGATACCTATTTTATTCCAAGGGGTTTATCCAGTTACTCATATAATATATTAACAATAATATTGAGACAAAATATGAAACAGGATAAAGAGTGCTTATTATTTATTTGCGACAATATAAAAAAGTCCACATATATCCTAATCTAATCAAAAGATTATCTCTAGGACATCTATATACTAACACATATCTGGTCAAAATGTTCTTCTTTAGAAATTTTATAACCACCTTAGCATCATTAGTGGGTAAAGCAATCGCTTCTACCCACTTGCTTACATAATCCACAGCCATCAATATGAATCTGT